GTGGCAAGGGGAGGAGCTGCAAAAGAAGACAAGCAGGCTTTGTGTATTAAAAATGAAACAAAAGCACTTTATACACTGAGCTGGGTGCAACAAGCTGTGCTGCTTGTGAGTCGGGGTGGAGTTTGAGTTCTTAGTGTTACAGGAGAAGCCTTTTTTTCTTTCTCCTCCCTTCCTTAAAAAGCTGTTCACTGAAATGCTGGAAGAAGTCCATAGATAGCAGAGAATGCCCAAAAATATATATAATAAACTATACTTGGATCAACTTTGCAAGCTTTATTATGATTTATCTTCAAATCAGAGAACTTCAAATGAGTAGAAAGCCTATATATCTAGATATAAATGTCCTTACTGATAAAGAGCACTAATCTCACTTGAAAAAGAGACGTTCCATTTCCTGCCTCTTCCATACTCCCTTTCTATTTGTAGCTCCCTTTTATTCGTAGCTACATGCTCATGAATTGAGACAGAATGTTCATTTTTTTTACAGTGGTGATGACTCCTTGTTTTTTATGTGCTTCATAACTCTTGATAGATTAGCTCTATGCTTTATATTATTTTATACTTTGCATTTCACTTCCCCATGTTCCCAACACTTCTATGATAGAGAAACATGATGCAGAATTAAAGGTTTAAGGCTTGTGATTTAAATCTTTCATGGGAATTTTTTAATTTTCTGGGGTTTTTTTTCTTTTCTTATCAGAATCATAATGAATCAGTCATATGTGCCAAATGTGTTGAATAAGTTTAAAGGAGAAAAATTATATGACATTTAAGTCCATTAATTTGATTTTCTTTTGTCCCAGCAGTTTGGTTTCAGTTTGTGTATAAAATATACGCATAATAGATCTGTAAAATATATATACAGAGTCCTAGCACTACAGCTAGCTGGATCCAAGGAAAATACATTGCACTGTATAATTTAACTTGCAAACCTGTCAGTGGTTTTTATTAAAATGTAATTGCTGTACATTATGCACGTCAGTAAATTGTTTCATTTTTGTAAGAGAAAATGAGAGCCATTCTTCTAAATATTTAGCACAGTTTCCAGCTCACATTTATCCTTGGCAAGTATATTTGTGTTTGTAGACTGGCTTGACATGTCTAAGGAGCCTATGTCATCACACACAATTACATTCATAATCCCAAGCAAAGACACAGATGTCAGATTTAAAAAAAAAATGTTTCTTGTGACCTACAAAGTCATGTAAGTAATGATAGGATGATAAAACAGTTGTTGCGGGGGGAAGGCCGTTTAAGTGTCACAGTGTCAGGTAGCCATTGGTTTTGTTTCACTTGTTTCATTATTTGAGAAATACTTACCAACCATATCCTGTCTATATCACTACTTGTAAATGGTTCTTATCCTGCATAGGCAGCAAGCTCTGATTACGTTAGGCTGAGAAACACATTGGCCAGCACATGGTGTAAATCCCAGTGACTATCTAAAACCATTGTCCTGGGGGTGATGTAACTATTCTCAGTGTGCAGTTTGCCTGTGCAGCATATTCTTTCTTTGACAAAACAATATGAGGTTGTCTTTATGTGACGCTCTAAGGCTTGGTTACACCTTAGTAACATTTTTGTCGGTATTGCAATTTAAGTCGCTTATAAATACGAAAAGGGATTAATCTAGCTGAAGAATAATGCTTCATTTATGGATAGTAAGCATTTGAGCTTTCTACATGTGCTTTATTCTTGTTTATCTGCTTACGGCAAACTTCTTTCACTTATCCAAATCATCTTCGCTTTGTACCATCAAACTGACACAGTTGCAGTTCCATCTGGCTAAAAAACTGCAAGTATGATGCATTACTTCCAGTAAGTGCAAATGGCAATCTCAATTGGAAAACAAGGTATCATATTTTAAAATGCTCATATTAAATTTTGAAAATATTTAATCAACTGTTTGTTTTGGGCTTTATCTTTTTAAACCATTTCTGAGAACTATTAAACACTTTTATTCTGCTAAATTTGCCTATGCCCAGGGTTTATTTTTTTCCCCTGTAAAACAAGTATAACAAGTTTTTGACCAGTATTCAATACGCACCAGTGTAAATTCCTCCCTAGGGTAAGTCAGTTGGCTTCAGTGGAGTGCTGCCAGGCACGATTTGGCTCATTGTGTTTCAGCCTGTTTTTTCACATATTATTTGATGAAGATCTTGCTAATGTTGTGCACCTGATGGCAATCTGCATAACAGTGCACATTTAATTTTTCCATTTTTAAATATGTGTAGTGGTATTCTCATTAGTTTCCTCCTTGTTGTCAAATTTGTGGCATGGGGGTTACACTGACACCACTTTTGGCCTCTTCCACAGCAGGATATTGCAGTGTTGACCATTATCCAGGAATCCAGACTGTCACTACAACACTGCAAGTGAGAGATCTTAGTTTCATTCAATAAATGAATCTGCACACACACACACACACACACACACACACACACACACACACACACATTTCTTTTTTTATCTGATTTTTTTAATTGCTGCAGAGTCACATACTATAGCATTTGTTCCACAATGCTATTTGTTTAGGTTTTGATGACTTCCCCTGTGGCCCACCTTAACTTGTCACAGTCGTCCTCTCTAGAAAGGAATGGAAAATGTAATTTGATTTTTTGCAGTTAAAATAATTCCGTTGACTTCTCCATGACAAAATAACCCAACACTTGTCCAAATAATCATCATCAAATGATCACTATAATAACTAGTCAGTTGTGATGTTTGAGGCTTTGTGGACCTGTGAGATGACTGTCAAACATTCGTGACTTCCATCACCACCTGAATAATATAGTTGAGTAACTGGGTAAAACAGATATGTTCTTAACCTATACAGAAAAAGAAAATCCAAAAAGATTCTTCCTGGTTCCTCTATCAGAAAGGCATTTCTTATGGCCAACACTTTCAAAAATGGCTTCTGATATTTTTGAGGGCCAGCATTTTCAGCAGGGCTGAGCACCCACAACTCAGATCAAGGTTAACAGGAGCAATAGCTAATTAGAACCTCTGAACATTCAGGCCTAAAGTTGCAAAATTAAATACCCAGAATTTGCTGCTAACTTTGAAAATTTGAGTCCAGAATGCTTAATGCTTTAGTTCAAAAATCAAATGTCCTACGCTCCCCAGAGATTGAGTCATTATCTAAAAATGTTACTATTTCATCTAGTGATTTCTAAGCACTTTATAAGTGTTAATCCTCAAACCCCTCTGGCATAGAGCCTTTGGTATCCCATTTTGCTATGAAATATTCGCAGTGAAATCTGAAAAATCTCTGCGAGGGCTTATCTATTCCATTTTTGCTTGGACACAGGACCATTTCTGAATTACTGATTTTAACAAAATTCAAAATGTACAGGCAAAAACGTCCAGTTTTTAAATTTCAGTCCAGTACACGTAGGGAATTCTCTTGCATAAAAACATGCGAAATCTTTCATGTTTTGGAACCAATCCTCCATTTTACAAAGATATCAAACAAAATTAGTTTAGGGCACTTAAGCACATGCATACTAAGACAGCTCTCCTTCATAAAGGTAACATATGCACACATGTTTGAAGGAGATGGGTTTTTACTGGACTGTGAAATTGCCTGGAATTATACTATGAAAATATTTTTGGAACATTTTGTGAGTAAAAAAAATCAATTAGCCACTGTCATAGAACCCTAATTATATTACCATTCTAGATACTGGTATACTGAAGCCCCAGTATCTTTTAAGTGACTTATCCAAAAATGAAACAGTGGCTCATTGGCAGAGCAAAGGACAGCACATCTGAGTCCTGGTTCCTGGTTCCAATTTGGGACAATTGCTTGTCGGTTAACCTCAGCTGGTAGCTGTAGAAAAGGCAGCCCAGTTTAACGGACATATCATTACAATTTGAGTGCAAAATAAGCTTGTGAGAGTACTTCTTATAAGTGGATCTTAAAAATAACAGAAACCCTCTGAGCTGTTTTCTGTTTGCACATGCTCGGGAAGGTATCCTAAAGAATCCCCCATTGTAGCTGGAGTGGGGGTGTTTAGCGAATCGTTGCCGTATGCGCATAGATTCCTCTCACCTGCTCCAAATGCCAGATTACAGTGTGTAGTGTACAGACAGAAGAGCAATAATTACTCTGAATTACAACATTGCTACTGATTGCATGAAATAAAATGTATGTATGGGGCATGTCTCCAACTTAACCCTAATGAAACACATTAGTTGATAAGGGGGGAACAATTCCTTTTCTATTTTTTTAAAGAACTGTTTAATCTGTTTCTCTTTGTTGGCTCTTGCCTTCCTTTTCCTTTGGGGTAAACACTTGTTTGCTTAAGGACTGATTGTTGCCCTGAGTTCATTTTCTGAGGTAGTAGGGATACTAGAGTTTTTCCTCAAAATCTGCAGTTTTAAAGGCCTGCAAAATCCTATAGAGTGAAATTCCGACATGCACACGCAAACGCACACACGGTTAACTCGGGGTTTTGGTGGATCTGGGATTTCAGTTGCTAAAAAAATTAGCTTGCACACACTCAAGAAAACAAGACTGATGTGTCTGTCTTGTTTGTTGATATGTGTGGTACTTGAAATGTAAAGGTATCCTAGCAAAACCTAATTCTAGGGCCTGATTCTGCTTTCACTTACACACATGTTGGTCGGGAGTAACTGTATTGGAGTTAGTGCAGTGGCACTGGTTTAAAAAAAAAAAGAGGCCAAAGTCAGGAGCCTTATAGTTCTATTTGTTGGAGTTGGAAAATGCATGATAGATCAGTCTCTATTCTCTGGGCAATGGATGGATGTATTTCCCTAGCAGAGAATGTACTGTATCTATGCTGAGTTTCCCAGCATCCTGTTCCACCATTCAAACTACTTCCTAAAGCTTCAAATATAGTGAACATATATGGTGTGCAGCCACTTCGCACTTGACTCAGAAACCAAGTTCAAATAATATCCAAATAGAAGCAATTATCTACTGAGAAGCGTTTTAAATCCTGCTGATCTGACAGTAAAACTCTTTTTGATTGCAGGTATTCGCCCACAAATAATGAATGGCCCTATGCATCCTCGTCCTTTGGTGGCTTTGTTAGATGGAAGGGACTGTACCGTGGAGATGCCAATTTTGAAAGACTTGGCTACTGTTGCATTCTGTGATGCGCAATCAACTCAGGAGATTCACGAGAAGGTAATTTAACTTCTGCAGCTGCTTTTACATTGTTTTGAAGGGGAAGAAGATGATTGTCCACTTCAACAGCATATTTATTTTTCTATTTGGATGCTGCAATTTAGTGTGATAAACCAATACTGATAAAAATATCTATGGCTAAATATTCAGCAGAGCTGACTGAAAATCAGGGAGTAATTTTCATAGATGTTTCAGGAGACTTTTGGTTTTTTTGCATCAACTCAGTGGCCTCTGTCTGTCTGTTTGGATGGAACATGAAAACTTTTGAATATTGCACCCATTCAGTTCCAAAATTTTAGGGAAAGTTATGGGTGTCACGAGGCAGAACTCTGTTAATTTTGGAGAAAATTAGTCAACTAGCAGAGGAAAATTAGGGATGCAAGTAGTCCCTGGAATCTGGTTAGCACATACATCAGCTTCAACTAGGCCTATAATTGTCTCTGGTTATTAGCAATTGTTAACACTGTGCAATCTAACAGCACCCTCAGCGTGGGTCATACTCCCAATAGCATTTAAAATGTTGGCACCCTGAATGATTTATCTCCCTCAGCAGAAAAAAAATAACGGAGAGAGGGGAAGAAGGGCACATCAGGAGCCCCTGGCATAGAGGAAAATGGGTGACTCCAGTATGGAAGAAGTGGGGGACCCCACAATGGGAGGGTTGGGGACACACAGAGCTCTGACTGAGGGGTAAGAGAATTGCAGGGAGACCCTGAGATGGAGGCCTACCAATGGTGGCACACAGGGAGTCCATGGGGGAGAGAAAGTAGGCATGTAAAGACCTTCTGGTGTATGCAGTGAGTTTAGCCAACAGAAGTAATTGTGTTTAACCCTCTAGTGTGTAAAATACTTGTATAACACCTAAGGGAACACATAGAAATATTCACCTGTTGCATTTCTTATTATATAATTGAACTGTTCCTGAAGCTTGCTCCAATGTATAAAACTTCTCAAAGTCAGCATTGGCATTCATTGCCTGATGAACTCTGGCGT